TGTGTTCAGTTTTGGGCCCCTCACTACAAGAAGGACATCGAGGTGCTGGAGCGTGTCCAGAGGAGGGCAACGAAGCTGGTGAAGGGTCTGGAGCACAAGTCTTATGAGGAGCGGCTGAGGGAGCTGGGGTTGTTTAGTCTGGAGAAGAGAAGGCTGAGGGGAGACCTTATTCCTCTCCACAACTACCTGAAAGGAGGTTGTAGTGAGGTGGGGGTCGGTCTCTTCTCCCTAGTAACAAGCGATAGAACGAGAGGAAACGGCCTCAAGCTGCGCCAGGGGAAGTTTAGGTTGGATACTGGGAAAAACTTCTTCACCAAAAGGGTAGTCAGGCATTGGAACAGGCTGCCCAGGGAAGTGGTTGAGTCCCCATCCCTGGTGCTTGAGGACATGGTTTAGCGGTGGACTTGGCAGTGATAGGTTAGCGGTTGGACTCAATGATCTTAAGGGTCTTTTCCATCCTTAACGATTCTATGATAGCTTATTTAGGTCAGATGTACCTTGATCCCAGCATGACTTGCATCAAGTTGTTTCTAAGATTTAGCACTAGAATTTTAATACAATAAGGTAAGACCAAAACACCTACAAATATGTTGGAAACCCTGGAGGAAAGGAATCGAACAGCAAGACAGTTTTAACCCTCCAAGCCTTTGTGAGAAACAAAAATCAAAACCACCCAACATTTTATTTGCTCCTGAATGAGGCATCAGTGGCTCAACACTGCTTCCTTAATCTTGTTCATTGATACCTATTAAAAACATGAGTCAGTCAGAAAATAAACAACAACAAAAGCATGCCATTCCATGCTGCTGTGGCCCTTAGCCTTCACTAGCACCTGAGCGGTCACAGTGAACAGTGCTGTACACCAACACAGTGTATTTTGCTTTTTATTAGCTTGCAGGAAACAGATTACCTACACACCCCAGGCTGAGAAGCTACTTGAAGTAGTCCAAACTGTTAAGATTCTCTTGCTTGTGTACAACACTAGTAACCACCAAATAAGTCTTAGCACACAGCAGTTAACCAACTGAATCAGGCAAAACAGTTTTAGCAGTTTTTACTATTGAGTTTGCCCTATTACTTGTACAAGGTGTTTTGTTTAATTGGCCCTGCCTAGATTTGCAATTCATAATATTGGCACCCTAAACATGTTCTACTTCAATCTGAGCTTTAATCTCCTTTGTGATCTGAAATTGCAAAATTACTTCACTGGTCAACAGCTGAACTATTTCTTTAATCAGTCATTTAAAGATTCATTGCCTTTAAGAACTTATTGTCTCAAAAAACATCAGGAGCAGAAAAGCTACCCTAAGTGAAAGGAAGAAGTGAAAGCAAGAGTAGCGATGATATCCCTTAAAAATGTACATGTAAATAAGTATATTACATCCAAATCAGCAGAATCAGAGGGGGAAGAATGCATTGCCCAATCATGAATGACAGACTTTTTAAAAAATACTAGTAAAAATAAACTGGGAGAGTTGTTTCTTTCATGTAGTCAGACATTTTAATAAAAAAAAAAAACCCAAAGCATAGCCAAGTGTCTGAGCATGACATGTGGGTGCC